CCTCGTTTAGCGACTTAGCCTGTGCTGGGTTTATTGTTTCTTTTGCTTTCCTTGACATCGTTGGACTCTTAATCCAAATTCTAGTCACATAAAAAGGCAAGAGTTTTCTCTTTAACTTAGGGTTTAATAGTAATACTCAAAGATATAGCTCAGACTACAACTCCAGTAATGCCAAGACAAACATACCACTCCCTTGAGTTCAAATATTACAGAGCCAACAATTAGGCAATATTAGGTCAGCTTTTTTGCCAGAAGGAAATTCCATTAAAAAAGCAAAAATACACAATGACAGTAATTAAGTTCAAAACAATCAAATCTAGGGATAGTACTTTCCGGAATATATTCCAAAGAAAGTATAAGCTCAAAACAATCGGATTAGCTATTTAGTGAAGATCAAAAAACGAAACATCCACCCTCAATGCCCAAGGATAGAGAACCTACACTTCGAGGAGCCCCTCCCAATCCCCAAGATTATTTATATTTTAAACGAAAACAAGAGGTAACAACTAATTAATTAGCTGCACACTGAATTGACCATTCTAGAATGTTCACAACGTAATAGACATGGGAGTTCAACACAACCAAAAATTTCTGGTAAAGAATTGGAGCCATCAGATCAAACTCAACCTCAAAGTTCCGGAAAGAAACAGGTTGGTTCTGAGTATCCTACAAGCACAGACGATAAACCGACACAACGGCATAGAAGGATCTTCCTTGTTGATCCTTGTGCAGATCGTAAATGTAAATTATACTTTGTAATTTGCATGGCTCTGTTTGTAACCTATGCCATCATCGTGATTGTGGGTTGCTGGACCATTCTTTGCAGGGAAGCTGATCAATGTAAGCACCCAGTATCCAATATTGATAAATGCATTAGGTTTTGTGAAGGTGCCAAGTGCATAAGCAATTGCACTGACTACTAGGGTTTCTACAATGGTTTCAGCTCCTGGGAATAATTATCCAAATAGTTTGGGACAAAAACAAAGTTCATGTACGTAGAACGGTCTTAGCTACCCTAGCTAGATTCTATCCCTTATAAACGTTCGGGACAAAAACTTAAGCATCTGCACTGACTACTAGGGTTTCAACAATGGTTTCAGCTCATAAAATACGTTATAAACGTCTTTATTAACGTTTGAGTAAGAGCTCTTCATTGTCAAGGTTCTGATAGAGGAGAAATTATACAATGATACTGTACTACCACGTGGCATTTGCCAGGTAGTAGTACATACGAATGAAACGCTGAGAACTGGACAGCTGCAACTAAAGGAAGAAAGGAGCTAACGTCGGTTTGATACTGGCGTTAAAGTCACCCTTGAAACCTTCTTGGAAAATTGTATGGTAAAAACTGCACCAAATAGCACCTTTCCTCCTCACTGCCCAAATTTCTGCAATTTTTTTTTCAACTCTTTGGTTCTCCTCAAGAAGCAAATATGTCATCATTTTATTGGTCCGTACTACCACTTGTTACAGTGCTATTGCATGATTTCTCTCTTGGGTGGGCCTTGTTGATACGCTTGAAATAATTGCGAATTATCATTTGAGACAAAATAGAGGGGTCCCTCCACTAGACACGCTTGAAATAATTGAATTACAGAGTAGAAATCTTGTGTGTGGGTGATCTGTAACGCAAAAGAAGGTTCAAGTGTAAATCCCTTTCCACAATGTAAATTTTGCCAAAGAGATGTTCACACTTATGAACGGAGAAGCAGTAAGTTTGCGCAGCGAGCAACTTTCCTCCGCTATCTTTTTCCTCTGATTTTTGGGTTGATCCGGCGTGGTCGACAACATTATCAATGTAAAATCCGTCCTTTAACAAAGGCACCGAAAAATCTTGACTTTTTATTATTATTTGTTATTTATCAAAGGCAGGAATGAGGAGGGGTTATTCACACACATTGTGCCTAGGGTATCGTTTCCACTATGGCACTAACCCATTTGAGCTGAGTGTCAGAGTGAGTGTATTGGCTTATTCAAAAAGCCAACAGAACTATCTCTGTGTATATAAGTTGCATGGACGAGGAGGGGACTTTACTCTAAGACTCTCTGTATTCTTATCTCTCTAGCTCTCTTACTTTGAGCGTGCTGCAGATTAATGGACACCCATCCATGTCCCCCAAATGGTGACAAAGAATTGAAAGAAAACATGGATAAAAGAAAACAGGAGCTGCAAACTACAATTGAGAAGCAGGATGATCAAGTAAATCATCTTCAAACGAGCTCCTTCAACCTTGCAAACTACTACTTCGTCTTTCAAGGACTTATTTTGGGGCCTATCGTCACTGCCACCACAGCGCTCAGATGCTCAGATCGCTGGTTCCTTTTCAGCCTCTCTCTGATAGCAGCCATACTCAACTTGGTTTCATTGCTTGTAATTGGAAGCAATTATAAAAAACGCGTCATGCAGAGACATCAAACTAAGAGTGAGCTCATTGAATTGGAAAGTGATCTGAGCAAGCTAGAAACTTCACCTTCAGATCAACGGCTGAAGGCTAAAATATTATCGTACTGGGATACGAAGAAAATTAAACATCCAGAGGCTTCTCAACATCCTATGACTGTAGAAATTAAGGATGAATCGGGACTAAGGCGGAGGGTCATGCCTGTTGTTACAAATCATCTACTTGACTTTTACTATGTAATTTGTATGGGTCTGTTTA